GCCGCTCCACAGCAAGACCCCTGACGTAATAATTTTTCCATAATAGGAAAGGGAACCGATCCGCAAATATTGTACAAAAATGATAATCTAGTGATCATTTATCTATTTCAATATTTCTCGTTAATCTTCCTCAATTTTGTTTCTTGTTAATCTTCAAACAAATCAAAATTCAACATGTATCATAGATATATCATCTATAATTTTAATTAAAAACTAACAAAATATAATATCAGGTAGCCATTCTTTTAATTAAACTTATATATATAAACAACATAAATTATCATTATATGAATTCATTTTAGATTCATTTTATTTATAGAATTAGTATATTTTTAAAACTTAATACATAATATTATATTATCATCTTCCTGCCCCATAAAATACTTTCCATATCCGTGTCTTGTTCAATTCATATCGTCCATATCAATGCATTATAGTAGCTTGTCCAAAATCGAGCGCATTTTCTGTCTGGACTTCTGACGTAACTCTACGTGCGGTGGAAGTTATTCCTGAGTTATTTTCATGTTATTTTCAATAATCTTAAAATAACCCAGAAATAACACGCGGTCTTTATTTTTGGGTTATTTCTGGATTATTTCAGAATTATTGAAAATAACTCAAAAATAACTTAAAAATAACTCAGGAATAACCTCCGCGGCACATAGAGCTACGTCAGAAATCCTCACAGAAAAATTAGGCCCAAAATCACACACTTTATGCATGTCCAACAAGATTTTATCATAAAGCATTAGGTGCACCATAACAATTTATGAAATGTTTATTTGGCATTAATTTTATTTTCAAAACATAACTCAAATTTTTGGATGGGCGGGACCTTCATAACCAACGACTACCACTAACATAATCACCAACGACCATCGCCTCTTCTAAAGCCAACAACTATTGTCATTGACGATCACAACTGCCACTTGCCACCACCATCCCGTCGACAACCACCTCTGCCATCACCTCACCGGCCGTCGCCAGCACCCCAACTACTACCACAGTTCAACTTTTTTAATATACAATAAAAAACAACATATTTTAACATTAAAAAAAAAGTTTTATTTCATATTAACACATGAATAAAATAAAATAAAACCTACCTAAAAAATGCTTGGGTTAAACTTATGGGCTGCTAATTTATGAACAAGTTTATATAATAATAATAATAATAATAAATAGCTCTAAGAATCCAGTTAAACTCCAAAATTCTAAGGAGCAACAGGAAAACTTCTTAACAGCCTAAATACTCCCAAATTGATCCATACAAAAATTGGCTTGATATCAGTTGTTTATGCCATAACTGACTGGTAACTTCTTAAATAAATACCCAACTCCAAAAACAATTTACCCAAAAATAAAAATAAAAATAAGGTGAGAAAGTGTACTGCACTTTTTAAGAATTATCGGTACAACTGTTTAAAAAGGAAAGTTTAGGCTTTAGATATGTAAATGCAGGCATTGGGTGATTTACACGTATATCACTCCGATTCCTATGTATTGGAAGATTTACATACATGACCCAATTCATGTATTACCATATCTAACACCTAAACCTAAATGTTTACAAACCTGCCATCTTACTTAATGCATAAACCCAATTTAAATATAAATTGTGCAAAAATACATTAATCTCAGAAGAGATTTACATACACACCACGCAAATACTAATTATATGCATGTCTAACGCTTGTCACCTTTGCCTATACAAGAAAAGCTGTATTCCATTTTTAAAAGTTAAAATATGATATTTTTAATGTCATGCGAAAGATTTAGGTGTATAAATGTAAAAAAGAAGTATAGGTGTTGGATGTGTAAATACATAGGAATTGGGAGGCATGGATGTAAATGTCCCCTCTTCTACAGAATAACTTCGATTGACCAGAAAACTGCGATTGAGCAACGGAACAATTCCTTACCAACTGGCTACACTGTTTGGAAGATGGTGCTTTAGACAAGAAAATTAGAGAGTAGAACTAAGTTTCAGATGTGCCAAATCTTAAAAACATGGATCATGGAACCTTCCAGAACTTCCTAAAGGTTCTCAATTCAAAGTTCAGATCTCATAAGTGCACATTTCTAAATCAGTCCCCCATTCAAGTCAGAAAAATTCTAATAAAAAAAGGGGATGGTTTACATACATACCACTCAATTTCTATGTTTTTGCACATCTAACATCTAAACTTTTACATATATGCTTACCTATACATGAAAAGATGCATTTCACTTTGACGTGATTTGAAATTTTTGGGTTGTATATATATGCAAAATGCGAAGTTTAGGAGTTACATATGTAATTACATAGGAACTGGATGATATGCATGTAAATGCCACAAAAAAACACAGCAAAATGAGAAATATCAGATGCATTAGTAATGAATATCAGTTCATTAACTGGATAAAAGGACTAAGTAAGCAGTCCCAAGGCAATTTACAGAAGCTATCTAAAGATTTACAGTTTTTTTTTTTTTTCTTCCCAATAAATTGCGCTTACAGGGAAGTGGGCACTGTACATGCCAAAAAACTAAAACAGCCACTGTGCATATTCCTCCTGCCACAGGAGAAGAACAAAAGAACAAGGAACAAATTAGCACACAGGGTCTCAATGCATTGTAAGATGATCAGAATACAGAATGTAAATAAAAGCATACTTTAGTACCTCTTCACGCTTCGCTGATCTACACTATCCGATCAAACTCTACAGCATAAATGCCGTTCAGTAAAGCTCAAATTGGTTAAGTTTGCTAATACAGATTCCAAGTGGTATTCATCATTTCTAAAAATTTTTCTGGATCCTGTTCCTCAAAAACCTGCTGACACAAAACATTAAGAGTAAAATTGTGCTTCTCATTTAAGTGAAATAGGGAATGTTTAAAATACTAAATAGAAAAACAATGGTACAGCAAAAAGAAAAAGGGCATTTACATGCATAGCACACAATTCTCATGTATTTACATGTTGCACATCTTAAAGGTGAATTACACATTTTCATGCATATGTATAAAGCGCCAAAGAGCTATGTATGTAAATATGAAAATTTAGGTGTGAATGTAAATACATAAGAATTGTGTGCCATGTATGAAAATTTCCCAAAGTAAAAAAATAGTGGAGAATAGTCCTAATAACTGTACAATGGGCAACAACCTCTAATGTCATGCACATGCTTAATTTTGTAGATCTAGATTTTCAATATAAACACGATAGAAGTAGTTTATATCTACAAACAATCATAATTATAAAGCCTAAACACATCTATTGCTATGAAAATACATTTATGCATCAAATGAAACGTTTAATAAAGTTTAAAAAAGATTCCAAGTTTCCATTCGTATGCTCCCATATACATAAAATTTAAACTGATTATTGACAATGGATGAAAATCTATACCATCTATAGTCATTAAAAGTAAAGGAAATGAGAATTGAGGTAAAGACATTGCCATACTTAGTTTTAAAGTTATATTGATAGTTTTTTTTTTTTCAGAGTTCTCTACTTTTCTAGTTATTTTGATGTACATGAAAACGGAACGTGCTCTCTAACATTTTAAATACTAATTCTCTTGTTCTGTTTTTTTTAAATTTTTTATACATACTAATTCTCTTGGTTGGTTATGGTTTGCTGCTCAAATTGGAAGTTGGTGCAATTCTGTCATCGTAAAATTTCCTAATTAAAATGTTTATGATTCCATATTTCAGCACAAGTCTTATTCGCCTGTGTTTTTTGTGCAGGCTAGCTTGAAATGTTGTTGCTATGTTTTCTGAAGCTCCCCACCTTATTAACAACCAGCCGCTAGTGCGCAAGATTGCTGCTATATTTTTATATGCTTCACTAACTTCCCTTCAAAGATATTAAAGGAATTTACATACATACCAATCAATTCTTCCGTATTTACCTAGCATCTCAACTCTACTTTTTACATTTATACCGCCCAAAATTTTCAAATCACATAAAAAACACAAGCATTTTAACTTTTAAAAATTGAAATACACCTTTTCATGCATTGGCAAGGTATCATATATATAAAATTGAAGTTTAGGTATTATATGTAAATACATAAGAATTGAGTGGAAAAAAAATTTGACTGAGACTTGTGAAAGACACTTGAACCAAAGAACCCTTCCAGGTAATTGATATATGGTCGGTAACGATTAAAGCAGACATTGTTGGTCTCAAGCCCGAATGTGAAAAATGAAGAGTTGCGTTAGGTAGTCGAGAACCAGCTAAAACTTGTTGAAAAAATCATGACATGAATCCTTTTGGACATTGTGTAAGTGCTAGGGTGTCCCCTGGAAGCGACGCGCTGTATGGTTTGAATACAGTAAAAAGTGTGCAAAAGCTGCTATACCAACGTCCGAATGTAGTGTCAAATAAGGAAGGGTTTTCACTTTACGGACAAATGCAGGTAAAGAAGTTAGTCCATAAAACTAATATTATGATAGAATTTTGGAATATAGGTACTCTTACTGCTAAATTAATGAAAATAATTGATATTATGATTCATAGAAAGATAAATATCTTGTGTTAATGAAACTAAATGAGTTAGAAAAAAGGCTAAGAAGATTGATAACTTGAGTTTTAAACTTTGGTATTCTGGTAAGAATCGCACTAGAAATGGGATAAGTGTAATTATAGATAAGAGTTTGAAAGTTAATGTCGTAAAAATTAATAGAGCCAGAGATAAAATTATAGCCCTCAAGATTATTGTTGATACTAAAATTTTTGATATAATACGTGCTTATGCTCCTCAAGTAGGTTTAGATATAGGTTCTAAAGATAAATTCGGAATGACTTATATCCTTCTCATGCATAAGAAGAGAGAAAAGGCTCAAGAAAAACTTGAGATATGGAGGTCTACCCTGGAGTCTAAAGGCCTTCGTTTGTATAGAACAAAAATTGAAGAAATGGAATGTAATTTTAGTAGCAGTAGCTCTAGTGATAGAAATGTAACTATGGTGATCAAATTATTAAAAGGTATGAACGCTTTAGATATCTCAGGTCTATTGTTCAAAGTGACGGTGATATTGATGGGGATGTTATTTGTAGAATTCAAGTTGGTTGGTTGAAGTGGAGGAATGCTTCGGGCCTATTGTGTGATAGAAAAGTACCGCTTAGACTGAAAGGAAAATTTTATAGGATGGTGGTGAGACCTACAATGCTCTATGGCATTGACTGTTGGCCTTTAAAAGAGAAACATAAAACTAAGTTTTGTTGAGATGAGAATGCTTAGTTGGATGAGTGCTTTACACTTATAGACAAACTGAGACATAATGTGAAATGATTATATCCTTAATAGGGTTGGTGTAGCTCTACACAAAATTAGAGAGAATCATCTTAGATGGTTTGGTCACATTAGCGTCGACCATCCGATGATCCAATTAGAAGAGTAGATGTTTAAGATTCGACTTATGTCAAGAAAGGTAGAGGTAGACCCTAGGATGACGTGGGCATATAGCATAAAAAATGATCTTAATTTATTAGAATTAAATTAAAATATGACACTAAATAGGACGCAATGGAGAAAAAGGTTTTGTATAGCCGACCCCACTTAATGTGATAAATGTTTTGTTGTTGTTGTTGTTGTTGTTGATAGCTCTTGTGCTAGCAAGAACTTTGTCATTATTTCATTCAACCAAAATATTTTGTTGGGAAGTATACACACAAAAAAGATCACGTATGGTTCAATTTCAAAGAAGTATGAGGAGAGGAATGTTAAAAGTGTTTTTGGTATTTTAGATCTGACGCTTTTAATAAACACCGAAGTATTTTGTTATTATATTCAAAAAGTAAGAAAAATGATACTTACATTACTTTGATCTTCTGATGGAAAGATACATGATACACGAGTGCAACCATCAATAAAGAGCACAAACCATCAAAACCCAAAAATTTTAGATGCAATAGATAATCTCTAGATGTCACTATGTAGGGGAGTAAAGGAGCCGAACACAAGCGAGCCCAAGCTTAGATCGTGTTCGGCTCATTTATATTTCGAGCTCAAAAAGTGTGTTCGTGTTCGGCTCAGCGAACCAAACGCGATTCGTTCATGAACAAAAAGTCGTTTAGACAACCCTAATCACGTAGCCATAAGATGTTTAAGGATTGGAGCAAGATTTAAACCATCATTTGAATCTAATTTAATATTTTTTATTCTATTTTCTTAATTAATACTTTTAATTGATTATAAATCTTTGTAGCCTTGTAGTTAATTAAATCTTTAAAATATTGTTCATCATATATATATATATATATATATATAACTTAAGATTAAATTTAATAAAGCCAAAACGAGCCGAACACGAACGAACAAATATTTATTCGTGTTCGGCTCGTTAACTTAGCGAACAAACCGAACACGAGCTTCTTAACGAGCCGAACACGAGCTGTTCGCGAACAACGAGCTTCTTAATGAAGAAAAAAAATCTTTTGGTTCTTATGTTAAAAATTTAAAAATTGGTATAAGTATATTTAGCTAACAGAAAAATATCATGATGAAACTCTTAAATATTAATATTTTCTAAAAGTAAAAGAAACATAATTTTAACAATAATAAAAGTATGTTGGACAAGACTTTTGGCGTTGAAGTCATATCCTATATTTAATGATTTGAAGATTATATAAAGAAAATATAATACAAGTAATATCGAGTTTCCTTGGTCATGGGAAAATAATAAAACAATTTTTTTCTTCTGCAACCCCAATCATTCTTTTGCCCCATTCATGAAATTCACAATGTGCAAGACAAAATATAACACTATATTTGAACATGTAATTACCTTTTGGATATGATAATAAGTTGGCGAATAGTTTAGGCACAAGGATGACATTTTTAAGCAGGAGGAATTTGTATATAAAAATATCTAATTGGCTAGTAACAATCATCAAGGATACAATAATAATAGCTATTTTTTGTTGCCAAGACAAGTAATATATGAAATAAATTTATGTGAAGAGTTAGTTGTATGATCTATGAATCTTGAATCAATAATACAAACTTAAAATTGGGCATTTTTTAAACTTCAATAGCAAAAATAGGAAAATATTGAGCAAGAAAACTAATAGCTGCCATAAAAGCCTTTTCTAATGATACTAACAACTTTTCTATTGATTCTTTGTGGAATATAATAGGTGATTCTCTAATGTTACATTCTTTCAAATATGTTATAAATGCAAGTCTCTACTCTTTTGCATATTCCTTTTTTTATTGCCCCGCTTTTGCATAATAGTTTTTCATAAAACTTCCAACATTTTTCTTTTGTATGATACGCAGTATTTGCCATATTTGTATTGTATAAAAATATTTTTACCATCTTTATTGGAAGTGGCTACTTCAACTCCTCGAGACAAGAATTTTTAATCAGAATGTTTAGCCTTTGCCATTAAAACTAAGCCTTACACGTGACTATTTGAATAATAACTCCTCGTCTACCTTCTATTCAAATGATAGCAATAACTTAATTTAAAGAATACAAAATGCTCCTGACGCGGAAGCATTTCCCGCACTAGTGCAGTTCATCTGCAGGCGGAAGCGGGATCGTGTCTCGCATGCTAGAGTTCACGCACAACTTGACTGCTTTGCCTGAACTTAACATGACTAGGTTTTCTCCCTTCCGAGAGTCAGCCGGTTTTCTTGGGCCATTTCTAGTTATCATCTTATTATATATTTGTATTCCTGACAGGTCAAGTTCAACTTTTGTGTGTTTTATATCGGGACAGTTGTCGGCGTCTCTTATTTACCTTCATGGGCTATATCCAAGGGTCGTGTGGTTCTCCGGTTGTAACTTGCTCCCAATGTGATGATTATCTTCCCTACTCCCTTTCGCATCCTCCACACATCACTCTTGGTCGCCCGAAACAGCCTCCCTTTGTTGTTTTCCTATAGTTTCCTTCCCGTCCAGTCATTTTCCTCATTGTGCCACACAGGACATCCCTCCTTTTGTTGTCCAACAGTCCACCGCATTGCTCATCACCATTTCAGCCATCCATCATCGCTTCAATCATTGTTCCAACCTTCCTTTTCGCTGCCGCTGTTGTTCCAGTCCTCCATACTCGCTGCCATTGTCGTTCCAACCCTCCCCGTTCACTTTCGTTGCAGTTCCAATCTTCCATACCTGCCGCCATCACCATACCAGTCCTCCATCTTGTTGGCCTTGTCGCAATCCCCTTTACCCTAGCTGCCATCAAACTGGAACAACCAAAATGTTGATCTTTGGGCTCTCCCTGCCACCCTACACTGACTGTTGTCCCCAAAACAGAAGCGATTATTAGGTGCGGAGGGCGCACGCAGAGCTGCGTGCGCCCTCCGATCACAGCCGCACATCGCAGCTGGCAGAGGGCCCACTGTCCTGGGGCGCGGGCAGCTCTGCGGGCGCGAAGCACTGTCATACAGCCGCGATGTGCGGCTGTGATCGGAGGGCGCGCGCAGCTCTGCGTGTGCCCTCCGCACCTAATAATTAGACCCAAAACAGCCCTCTGAAAACCCCCACTAGCTGCAACTGCCACTCTCCAACCATTCCAGCCACCTACCACCCTTCCCAATCCACCTAGCTGACTACCACCATTCCAAGAACGGACCCCTTGAGTAGTTTGTCATATCTGTTAACATTTCTCATTTCAATTTGTTTGGTTGTAATCTCATATTTGCTTTCAGTAATAATATTTACTTTTCCTATTGTTGTTTGGGTTAGATATCGCCTCCTCTCCTAGAATTTGTATCCTTAGCATATCAAACTCAAAATTTAATCTAGCAAGAAAATCATAAATTTCGTCTTTTCCAACAAATCTTCTAAAGAGAGTTACATAATTATCGTATTCTTTTGGGTGCATTCATAATAATCCATCTCTTTTCAAAGGCCATACAGTAGATTGGAATATTTTTTAACGAATCATCATCTATGTTTTGTAACCAAGATATTAATTTTGATCACATAGATTAGGCTTGTATTACAAGCTTTTGAGTATGCATGATTCATTGTATCTCATATTTCCTTTATTGCATGAATGAAACATGCAATTATCACCTATTTTAACGATCGTGAAGTTCCAAAACAAAATCGTCATCATCATTTTATCCCAAGTATTGACGCCTGGTGCCAAAAAAGTGACAATTTTTTCTCCTCACTTCAAAAAGATGTGGATCAATTATGACCATATGAGTTAATTCTTTTCATTCAAATAATATAGTGAATTGATATTTTTTAATACTCTCATTGGATTTGAATTATCAATCTCAGCTCCATTGAACCTAAGACCAAGGGAACATGCATATTGTTGTGATCAATAGCAAGGAAAATTAAGTAATAGTTGATTGCAAGAATCATTGAAATAAAACTGCAACAATTGAGGCTGCATATGAGAAAACTAGATAAAATAAAATAAAAAAAAGAACTGCATCAACAAAAACAAAAAAAAAATGCATAATTGAGTGTGTGAAAAGGTACAAATAACTCAGGAGATGGAATTATTATGAAATGGATGAGGAAAAAACAAAAAAAAAAAAGGATAAAAGACTAGAAGTTCTGGAAAAGGACATTTGAAAAGTCAAAAATATGAAATAATTTTGAAGAAGAATCCATAAAGACATGATAATTAGTTAGGATAAGGCAAATTATAAGTGGGAGTAATCCAGCACAAAATACACTTTGGACTGAGATACATTATTACTACCAAAAATTTAAATTGAAAGACTTGAATTCAAAAAAATTTTGGCATGGTATCTATCAAAACTGCCTAAATATTAGTAATTCGTTTGACTGTCTATTTGAAGTTTTAGGATTTATATGAATAGAATTGATGCATTGGCGCATTTTAAAGCTTCAGCAAATCTGTAAAATCACAAAAAAGTAACATGATTCCCAATTAAACAGGTCACAAGCAGCAATGGTAAATGAGGCAAGTTCGCCTCGGCTACAGATCTATGGCTGACAAATGTAGACATATTAATCTAAGCAAATGGGATTTCGACAAGAGGATAAGAAGGGAGAATCCCACCCACGTCCAACACGAGAAGGGGGAATGAAACCAACAAACCAAGTGGATATGCCAATGATAAACCCTGAAGCTCAAGAGGAGAAAAGAGGAAGTTGCAGGGAGATAGAAGAGAAAAAAAATATATCAAGCAGCAGCAAAAAAAGTCCAATCTCAACAATCTTGCTACCCACAAGAATTGCAAAATCCGATGAATCCCCAAAATAAAAAATTAGCACCTCCAAAAAAAACATTTGATAAATTTATCTTAAATCCTACAAAAAATCCATCGAAATCTCCAACAATCACAAAATAAGTTAAGATAAAATAATATTAGACATTTAATTTGCAATTAGATTTGCAATGTTCCATAAAAGATAGTCAAGCATGATTTAGAGAACAGCTTAAATAAAATAAAAATAACAAGAAAGATATAAAAGGAGAAAGAGAGAAACAAGTATTATCAATGCATCTCACTTTCGGATATAATTGCATGACGTCTTAAACCTACGTAAAAATGGAAGCATCTATTAAGACACAATTATGTTAGATAGATTTGATTTAATTTTACATTTACAAAGTTCCATAAAGAATAACTGAGCATGATATAGAAGATAGCTCATCTAAGATAACAATAATGAGAGAGATGAAGGGATAAAGAGAGAATCATGTATTATGAATGGATAGAGATATATATGATTAAAGAGAGGAAACACAGACTTGAAAATAAACTTTAATATATTTTGTGGGATTTCTAACCAACTTCAAACCCATAGATGTGGATCTCACTTTTGGATATAATTGCGAGATACTGCAAACCTATTCATATCCTTAATTTGTTTGATGTTTCAAATCCATTGGCATTTCATAAATTGAGCCATTTGTATGGAATAACGACTATCACAAAACATATAGATATAGTAATCCATATTAAAAATTAAATGATAAAGTTTAGACAGCACAGTCGGGCTTAACACCAATATGAATAAGATTTTATATATACATTATATCTGACATAATTGCAAAAGTTTAAGCCACTGGTGCTTGTAAGATGATCTAAAACCACTAGTCTAATAGCATATAATGCCCACTTTTTCAATCGTTTTAAATTCTCTTAGGCAAAGTATGCCGGAAGAAATCAAAGTTCATCTATCTCATCATATTTTATTGATTTAATTAGCCCATACTTTCATTTTCATGAAATTTTCTCATGGAATTCAAGTTCATTATAAGAGAATGTTTATGTTCTAGATATTATCACTACTTATGCAAATGGCTCTATGTGTACTTGTTTCAATAATTATCTAACTAAGAGGCAAATAAGCATACAAGTAGTTTGAAGCATCCTTAAATAAAATGAAAAAAAAAGTAAATTGCAATGCTTAAATTGTTAGCCTACACTTTAATACTTCTCAAAATTCAGCATTCAAAATGCTCATAGCATGAGTCATATAGCCCCTTGCAAGAAGTGCTTGCAACAAAGAGTACGATAAGTATCGTTTTTCCACAGTACAATTCCTCTAAATATAATAGCTAAATTATTTGCAGAAGCATTATCTGAGCCTTAACATTAAATAAAAGTGTAGCACGATAAAACAAGCAAAGCATGCTAATACACAAGTATTAAAAAAAAACAAACCTTTATTGGAAGGTCGATGGGGAGCTCCATGAAAGCAAGAAAATTACGTCCAACTTCGTTCCAGTTTATCTGATTGACTTCCTTTATATTTTCACCACTTCCGAACTGATTTTCTCCATTAACCTGTTTGAAGCTGCTTCCTATCCACAAGCACACCTTCCTAAATGGCAAACTGTCTTTGCTAGTAGCCGGAAGAAGGAAAATTAAAACTTCTTGGGGATGAAGATTCTCTCTACTAAATGCAGTCATCTTTTCAAAGTTGGGCCAGCGAAAAATTAATGCTCGAAAAGAATGTCCAGATTCTTGAAAACTATCAAGCAGATCTATAGAGCCAGATCTCAGGTTATCATCTCCTGAGAGGTGGTCATCATCAAGATCAGCATGGTCTCTTAAACCTCTACCATTAAATTCACCTAGATTTTTCAAAACTGGAGGTTCGACCACCATATCTTTAGAGCATGCATCATCACCTATTGGAGTAGGTTTAGAAGCTTGATTGTCAAAGATTTTCTGTGTACTCTCAAGATAAGTAGGTGAAGCGCCAATAACCTTTCTGGATGATAATGAGGCATCCTTATTCAGTGTTGGCAATTTTAAAAGTGAAAAGCTACCCCTTCTTTCAGCAATGGAGCGTGAAAAGTCCCTTGAAGGTGACTGTGTTGCCTGCAGATTCGTCCTCGGCTGCTCAGGGTCATGCTGTGAAGATTTAGATGGTAGAATGACTGGCTTAGGCAAACTACGTGAAGCTGGTGATGGTGTAAGCATGGGTGAAGAAGATGTTGAAGGAGAGATTGTTGGAGATTCAGAACTAGACTTTGAACTACCACTTGAATCAGATGAAAATGAATTAGGAGACAAATAAGTTGGAGAAGTTGAAGACTCTGCATTCAAAATCTGAACTCGATTAACATGTGGATCTACCTCTTGGATGAGTGCAGAATTTGAAAAGACTTTAAACATTGTACGAGAAAGAAACTTGCGTCTCAGTATACTCCAATTGCTTTCTCTTGCTGGAAGATGGGTTTCTTGCCCTGGCCCAGACGATGGAAAAGGAGGAACAACACCTCCAGTGATAGCTTGATAGAAAAGATCAAAGTCAACATCATATGCCTCGACTCTCCTCTTACCCACAATAGGTTTTCTTCCAGACTCAACCTCTTCCTTTTCAACATTTGTGGCATTGTCTAAGCCAGCTCTTGGGTTAGAAAATGCATCCCAAAAATCTGCAGGCTCCTCACCTTCTTCAACTGTAATAATAGGCCCAGGCACCTTCTCATATCTTACAACCTGAAACGCAGCAGCTTTAGCATCCTTCTCAATTACCAGATCACAGTTTTTACCAATCCACACAAAGATTGTGCACACTACATGGAGAATGAACGCCCCTCTAGAATCCAAAGCAGCAGAAGATGGATCATTAAGCATCTTAGGAACAAGGTGCAGAGCATCATAAGGTGAGTGTGGTGCCATCCTGTACATCCTAAGCCCTGAATTAGGGCTTAATGGAATTGCATGGACCCTCTTCTGGCACTGCAGCAGCTGGCATGCAAAACCCATGTTTGGATTGGCAATACCCCTCGCAGCTTTCACAAACTGAAAGGCATCATCAAAACTCTGACCTTCCCTCCACATGAGATAGGCTATCACCAACGAGGTTGATCGGGATACTCCTTGACAGCAATGAACCAACACCCTGCCGCCCTGCTCCCGAACATCCTCAAAGTAATCAAACACATCGTACAGTATACTGGTAATATCTTCGGTCGGGCTATCCTGCAACCAGAGTGTCTTGTACACGAGATGAGCTTTGAAATACTCCGCACAAACAAATCCAACGCAGTTGAGAACATGGGTGATACCATTCTCGCGAAGGATCTCTCTGTTCCTAGCCACGTAATCTCCACCAAGGTAGATATGATCCGCCACCTTGGAGCACTCCTTATCAAAGAACGCAATCTGATCTTTTTTAACCTGAGACCGCAGCGATGATAAGTCCACCTTCAGACCTTCCCCGGGTCGGCTGGGTTCTGCTCTACCACTCGGCGTAGGCGGCTGGAGGCACTCCCCAACGTCATCGGAGCTGGCCTTTGGCCACTCGTCCAAACTCCGGCGAGCTATAGAGAGGGGTTGGAGGGGAGGAAGGCAGGAACGAGCCTTACTGCTATTAGATCTAGGCGTGAGAGGAGTAGGCGGGAAGCGTCGAAACTGACCATTGGAAGAAGCGTTCTCTGATGCGTCGCCACTTGCAACATCATCAGGAACGGACGCAGTCCGAGAAGACGACCAAGACGCCGATCTCCAGAACGCCTTCCTGCCACCGACGATGGGCACAGAGCCTGAATCTTCCTCGCTTCTCATTTCCTTAACTGCTAAGCTCAAACTCTCACAAAAACCCAAGGTTTCTCATGCATGGATCAAACGGATCCATTGCTCATTTACTACGATAACCAAACCCCTGGTGAGGAACGCAGTTAGTAAAAAACTAGAGCTCAATCTTACAAAGCGGAAGAAAAGAAAGCGGAAACCTAGAAAAGATCAAACTGCCGCGCTCTGCAAACACCAGAGATTCGGTTCTTCCGGTGATTATGGTAAGGGAGAGAGTAATCGCCTGAGAGCGGCCACAGATTGGTACGTAGAAGGGAGAGCGCGAGAAAGGGATGGAACCCTAGCTGAGCTAATTTCTCATGAGACCAGAAGGCGTGTTGATCTGAACTTGGAAGAGGCGAACAAGATCACTTAGTGGAGATCTGGACCGTCGGATGAGATTCTCTCAACCAAAACAAAATCATTTCCTACTTTTAGAGTGGCCATCTATGGCTTGTAATGAAAAATTATTTATTACCTTATATGCATGCAGAATTGTGTGTGTATGAAGGTTTCTGTGAATGTATTGGAAGGTTATGTCGTTGTTGTTGAGGTTCATACTCTCAATAACCTCACAAAACCCTCGAAGATGAGCGCTGAAACGCAGAATGTATTGATAGACTATTGGAAGGTTATTGAGATGTTATTGGGGTTAATACCCTCAATAACCTCTTAATAACCCTCAATAACTGAGTTATTGAAAGATTATTCGGGGTCATACGTATGGCGTTCGTAAATAGCACTCCCTGCAATGAAATCTATGGGTCCGAGCAAAAGCTGTCCAAAAAAATTGTTCAACAGGTCATATTTGGTTTCTTTAGTTTGTGTTTCATTTGTTGGTTAAATAAAATGTACAAGATGAATTGATGATTATATGCACATATTTTTTTTCCCACATGTGGGAGAGAAATATGCAGTTTCTTAATATACAATATATGTTGCAGTTGTTAAGACTTCAATATCTTGTCTTTGAGGTGTGTCGTTGCACAGTGTTCAGAACAATATACTGTTCTTTCATACACTTTATTGTTTGGAAGTTTTGCTGATATGTCGCAGTGCACATTGTGATTCCACAAGAGGCTTCATCGAAAAGAGCAAGTGTTAGACGATGTAGTAGACGGCGGACGACAAGAGGTAGTCGACGACGATCAGGGACTGTAAGAGTGAGCAGCATTCATTGGATCTTCGATGTAGAACTCAAGAGCTCAACTCCCTCTTCCAAGTTCTAGCCTCTTTGTGGTTCAAGGTCTAGTTTTCTCTCAAGAGGGGGTAGGACTTTATTTATAGAGTTCATATTGCAAATAAGGAATATTTAGCATCATATGGAGTCGTATCATACTAAGAGTCTCAATTCAACTATGTTCTATCTATTTCTACTAACAACATTCTTGAAAATAATCAATCTAATTTCAATCCTCAAATCATACATGATCTCAATTGATCAAGCAATGACAAAAATAACAAAAGCAACAATAACTGTCAGATAGTCATGCTCCCATTTTTTGAGTTTCTAGGGACACCGACATCAAACTTGTCTGAAAGCCGATTCCTAAGTTGTTGTTAGGCAAGATATAATTTCCTCTAGGGTGTTCCATACTAATACAACTATAAAAATTAAAACATAAATCAAATTAAGTCAAAGCAAAAAAATGAACAAAATAAAATAAAATAAGAAAGATAGAATAAACAATCAAAACTAAAATAAAACAAACAAGTAAAACATAAAAGAACAAATTTATAATAAAATTGAAAACAAAAAAAAAACTTCTTTGTTATGGTTGTTATTAGGAAAAATGTAATTTCCTTCAGAGTGTCACATGTCTGATATAACTGGAAAACTCACAAAACATAAATCAAAATAAAATAAAAATCAAACAATCAAACAAAATTTCAAGTAACAAACAAGCAAAATTCAAATCAAGTTTCAAACATATACAAAGAACTTTTTAAACCTGAAAACTCTTTAGTATTTAGAACTTTGCCTTAAAATGTTCTGATTGTTATCTAGGCAAGGTGTGATTTCCTCTGAGGTGGCATATGCCTAGTACATCTAGAAAAACTTATCAAACACTTTCAAACAAAATAAATCAAAATAAAATAAATCAAAACAAAAGAAATTAGTTTATAATTGTTGTTGTGGACCTTTATTTTTAGCCTCCTGTTGGAATATCTTGAAATCCTTGTGGTGTAATTTCATTTGTTTTCTTCTTACCTGTTATTGCATACTTGTTATGTCCCACTTATATTTGTTAATTTTGTTGATATACAAATGTGGCTGAAAGTATATATGCACTCTTTTCTCCCTACTTATATTCATGTTTTACATTGCTTAATATATTAAAAATTAAGTTGGGGTGGGGGGAGAAAAACTTTTTAAAGTTTAACTTTATTTCTCCTCAATAACATACAATTAAATTGTTATGTTTTAAAAAGAATTGAGGTATGTGCTGTAATTTGAATTTATTGCAATTTTAATAAAAGAAAAAATATAGTATATTTATTTTAAATTCTATGTAAATGTGGCTAGACTGATGTAGAGTTAACTTATAGTTTAACATGTAGAAAATTGGTTTCACTATTTCTATTTGCAAAGAGTTATAAAATTGTTTGACTAGGCATCCTTAGATATATACTTCATAAGAATCAAGCTTCTATTCAAATCATAGTTTCAAATATTACATATTAAAGTGAAGGAGTGTGGTAGGCATCACTTTAGGTTGTTAATACCGGAATTAAAAATCATTAAAGTTCTATCCAAATATATTAATCCATCTAAAAGTAATGCTAAGGATTGAAATATATATATCTTAAAGCTACAAAAAAAGTGATTAAAAGAAAAATATTAAGTGGGAAAAATCTTGAGGAGAATCATAATAAAAAATTTGTTTCACTAGATTCTTTTTAAAGTTGAAGCATTATTACATTCCTCAGCTTATGTGTAATAAATTTGTGTTTGTACTTTTTTAAAATGGGGTGTTTAAATTCTATTTTTTACACTATTCTACTTTAGTTAACATTTATTAACTACTTTGTAAGTTGAACAAAAAATCAACTTTTCTTAGTTAGATAAAATGTTTACTTTTGCCCTAGGGCTAGACTTGTTTGCTAGAATTAATTTAATTTACAATATGTGCTTTCTTGATGTCACGTTGTTAATAATTTTAATTAAACCCACATCCTCAAATTAAAAAATTTGATTTTAAAATTCTAGTGTTATTTGAGTACAAGTACTGTTTAAGTTTGAGGGATTTTGATGTGTACAAAAGCATGTTTAATTTCATTTATATTTTACAAAAAATTATGAACAAAATTGCAATTTAAAGAAGATTACTTTTATGTTTTTAGTGCAGATACAACATGAAGTAGAAGTAGAACAATGTGGAGAAGAAATGGAGCGAAGCGAGGTTGATATGGAGCAATTGGAGATCCAGGGACTGGCGCTTAGGCACCAGCCATTGGGTGCCAAGGCGCTCCTACCAAGCACCTTGGGGTCAATTACTTGGGCGCCTAGGCATTAGTGTACAACTGAGCAGACAAAGAGGCTGAAGCCTAGGTGCTAGTCTAGTAGCGCCTAGGCGTCATTAACTGTTGGGTAGTTTTTAGTAGTTTCTTCCCATGATGTGGAGAGTTATTTAACAGATTAAAAGCAGTTCTTTTGGGATAATTAGAGGAGAAATTTCATGGAGAAGAAGGAGAGATCAGTAGGGTTTGTCGTAGGTGAGAATTAGGGATTTTACTTAAATATTTTGGTGAGATTTGAGAGGTGTATTGTGAGAAACGTATTCAATACATCAGCAAGGTTCTGGGAGATCCTAGGAGAGCATTCTCAAAGCATTATAAAGAGGAAGAACCTAAGTATTGTGCATTTCTTTTATTTTACTGTTGTAAAACACGATTACCCAGTGGATGTGCTTTGTGTTAAAGATGTTTTGTGGTGTTTTCTCCATGTTTTTTTAGTAGTCTTTTCTCCTTCCTCTTATAATGATTATATTAGTTGTGTAGGAATTGTATAATGTTTTCAAAATTGGTTTTAATCTTTAATATGATGAGCATTCTTCAAAGCTTCATTTACTTTTCATTTTGACCAAGTGATTAGTTAAAATATGTTGATATGTTGTGATCCATAAGTGATCCATAATGACTCGGGAGACCTATGGAAGAACGATTATAATATTCACATTGAACTATAGGGTATGAAGCAAATTTTAACTACAAGGATGCAAATAGATTAGAAAATAATGTTTGATGTGTTCAAATTGGGGTTTAAAAAATTAAAACCAATTTAATCAAATTTCTTTCTGCTCTTGGGAGAGGGTGAGGAAAAAATTTGCTCATATTTGTCACTAGCCCCAATTACAATTTAAAGTAGTCATTTTCCTGCACACTACTCATACCATTACAATGGAGGGTAGTTTTAAATCCTGATTGTCACCAATTCAAATATATGTTTAATAGGATTTCTGTAGGACTAAACCTTCAGTTGTAGTTTGTAATTTTGTAGAACTAGTTAGCACAACTTAAAACCAACTTTACTCCCAGACTAAGACTAATTTTAGTAGGCTAGAGCTTCTCTTAAGTCTAACTGTCTTACTCCCTTTGGGATCGATATTCCAGACTCAAAATCCGATATTACTAATATGATATGTACACTTGCATGAGACCCCTACACTTAGAATTAAGGTGTGTCAAGATTTTAGCGTTGTAGTAGGATATGTAAGCCATCAAGATTTTGGCACCGCTGCAACGCGTATCAGGGGATTGCATCCCACCCACATAGATTAACATGATTTTCTCAGATTGTACTATACAGTCTCCTTCATTATCAAATGCAACATCATATTTGGAAACGAGTTATGAATAGTTGGTCTAGGAGAATCTTGAGGACCAGTCGAGATTCCTCTCCCCGTTGGGTCAGTTTTGGTGCTAAAAGGAATAGAGTGGACTTAGCAAAGCACTGCATCCTGGCAGTCCCACAAAGAAGAGTTTCGAATACCTTTAGAAAGATGGATGACAACAAAGCATCATTTGGATACTAACCTAGCCTAGACTTGAAAAGGTTGCAGCCTTTGGAGTTATAAGACACCACACCTCTAAGTGTATGCAAAAGAACTTTTTTTCAAAGTATGTGTTAGGAGGTTAGGTTAGTCTCTACATAACTCCAGGTGACTAAAGGAACAAACTGTGTGAAGAAAGAAAGGCACAGGTATAGGGGTTGTAGTCTACGGATGAAGATCACCATTATGTTTTGATATACATCGGGATAGTGTCATCAGATCGTATTCCATTGTATCCATTGTTGAAGAAATCAACAAGGATTATTTTGGCTCTAACAATTCATTGCAAATATGCATGTTTTGATATTGTCGCTTTGTG